ATATATATATATATATATATATATATAATTTTCTAAATGCTCTGTAATTTTGATTATATGTTACAGTTTTAAGGCTTTCTCGGGTAATTTTTAAGAACATCATGTCGACTTAACCCTATGTAACAACCCAATTTTCAAAAGAAATTTTTAATTTTTAATTAACCAAAAAGCTCCCACAAACCATGAGATTTCCAAATACAATTGTTTTCAAAGTTCAGAACCATTACAAATTATTTCAAATCATCAAAGTGTCCCATAAAATGCCTGAGAGAGAGAGAGAGTGTGTGTGTGTGTGTGTGTGTGTGTGTGTGCTTGCCGCGTCATCAAACCTTGCCCTTGCCCTTAGGGTCAGATGTACCTGAAACAAATTCACGAACTGTAAGCTAATGCTTAGTGAGTCCCGCAGAGCATACCCCACACACAGTTCACATAACACATAACACCTTAGCTATAAAAGCTATCTCTACCACATAAGACATGCATACAACATATAAGGAGGCCATGGAAACCCTCCAGGGTCTTACACCTAGTGCCACTGGAACCCCCACGTGGTCTTATTACCTGCCATGGCAACCCCCACATGGTCTTCCCACCATGAGAACCCCCACATTGTCTTCCTACCAACGAGTATCAAATAAACTAGGATGTCATGGAAACCCTCCAAGGTCTTATACCAAATGCCATGGGAACCCCCACGTGGTCTTAGTCTACTGGCATGGGAACCCCCCGGGGTCTTCCATGCAAATGTTATACTAACACAACGCATAATCAAACGACAATCCACATATAATAAATGGGTCGGCCTTGGTGCCATATACCCAATGGTATGGTGAGAAGACTCACCTCTCGTGAATGTATAACTGACAAGCTAAGATTACTTAATCCCCCACGTGCTGCTCCAACTTAACTGCCTATATTCATCATGTGATTAACTCGTCAACATCTCATAGACACCCTTAAAGTCATCCCTGGTCAACCCTAGTCAACAGCCAAGGTCAACAGTCCCTATTGACCTCAACTCGTCGAGTTTCCTGAATAATTCAACCACTCGCCGAGTCCCTCCATGTCTATAACCGAAAACTCGTGAAACCGAAAAATCGTGAAACCGAAAACTCAAGACAACCGAAAACTCATGAAACCGAAAACGGGTAAACCCTACTCGACTCGTCGAGTCAGAAAAGGGACTCGACGAGTTCCTTCAGTCTTCTTCAAGTTCAACCCTTTTCAGTGGGATCTAAGATCCTAAAATCAACCACTTGGGTTGTGGTGACTTGGTAAGGCATGTGGAAGATATGGTGGATAACCTATTGACCCATGTTCAAATCCTGGCACTACTCAGCCCTTGTGGCCATAGAGGTTCGCCTGCAGTGACTCTAGGGCATGAGGCAAAGCCTCATGTTTGCAGCAGGGGATTAATCGGTGCGCGAAAGCTGGTCCGGAAACCCTCGTTAGGGAAGTTCCTTTTCCAAAAAAAAAAGATCCAAACTCCATATACAAACTCTCCTAGTGCAGATACCACGTAAAGTTGCAAACTTTACGTGCATGCAAGGTCCTTCAAGGCTATGACTTCAAAACTAGGCTTCTTATAAGGTTCTTGTGCATGGAAAGTGGCTAAACTGCATAAAGGGAACAACTTTATGTCATTGGGGGACCAAAAGAGGTCCAGATCTGGAACCATATCCTTGTAATAAGTCCAATCCAAGTTTGACTCCATTTTGCACCAAGAATGACCATTTACTTCCAAGAAGAGATCTAAGCAAATAGACATCAAGATCACGACTTTATACCTTAGGGTGATGGCCAATATGAAGTAGATGTTGGATCTACTGTTCCTCTCCTATCTCCTTCTTCTTCAAGTTCTAAAATCCTTCACAAATATCCCAAAATTGCTCACAAAGGCTCTTTCTCTCACTCAAGAGGGTGCAAGGTCGATCTAGGGTTTTCTCAGGCTGATGGACTGATAAGGGAGGCCACAAGAGGCAGGTTATGTTCTTTAAATAGGGTGCAAACCCTAAAAATTAGGGTTTCTCTTTACAGCTCCTACTCGTCGAGTCGGGCCTTCCGACTCGTCGAGTAGGTCCCGATCTCGCGTCCACCAAAAATCTCTCTACTCAATGAGTTGGACTCTGAACTCGCCGAGTCCACGCACAAAACTCTAAAACTTAGATAAATTAAGTAGTACCTGGAACATGTGTTACACCCTATCCCCAAAACCTTCAATCGCCGACCACAAAAGAAAGTTATTAGAAGTTGCACTTTGTTATTATGACGTTTTACAAATCAAAAAGTGCCAAATTAGAATCGAGTGATTATTAACTTTTGTGATTACGATTTGAATACATATCATGCATAAATCTATAATTTTTATTTCTTTTAATTGTTTTGTGTGATAGTCACAAAGTGATTAATGATGATCCACATAATTAATTCATTTTGTTTACTTTTTTGGTTGATGCCTACTGCAATTTTTTATATACTTCATTTTTTTAATTATTGGTAATTCCTTTAGTAATGAAGCATGAAACACCAGATTCATTTGCTTTTGTTTTAATGGAGCATTAATAATTTATTACTATTATATTGTTTATAGATAATTACCCAAGTTAGAAGGATCGAAACTTTCAGGTGGTTTTAATTAAACTTTAATACAAAGTAAATGGATTAATGGATTAATTTTCTTTTCATTTTGTTATATCCAAATTGATTATGAGATAATATCTTTTGAATCGATTTTTCTCAATAGTGGGTTACTTCATGTTCTTCCTATTTGGATATGGATTTTAGTGTTCATTTCATTGAAGACGTGCAAATCAAAGGGGGAAAAGTTACATCTTCATCCTCATATTCTTTCAGAATACATTATCAAGAAGTCTTTTTAGAATGCACAATCATCAAATTATTTCAGAATGGATTGTTTGGCAGGAAGAAGGTATTGAGAAGCAATTGATTCTTGAAGATTATTAATTGATATGTTCACTAGGTAAATCTAATTAATTTATTAATTTTTAAATAAGAATTTCTAAGTTAGAACTGTTAATTGGTATTTACATATGTTCTTAAATTGAAATTTCTTGGTTGTTGTATACTTTTTTGTTCAGAATGATGAAAGTAGTGAATTTATTGTCAATGGTATATGATCCTTCTTGCATCTCAACATATTGGGGTAAAAGGCCTTGAACTTTGCGACACGTATCATTCAATTGGGATTTGTTGCAGGAGGATTTATTTCACGTCTTGCTTGAGACGTGATAAATAAGAAGGTTAAAGAGGTACGTATATATTTCATGTTGTTTGCTCATCTGTTTTGTGATTTTAATCTTTGTGAAATCCCAAAAGCCATATAACTTGTCACTTATAAAAGATTGATAGTTACTGTAAACCCATTTTGTTTTGCATTCTTAATGAAGATATGGTCTTACCACTTCATTAATAGTGGTAATCTGATTTGATATCCGTATGACATTGTAATATCTTTAGAAAAATGGATTTTTGGATACGGTTTTATTGTAATATCTTGAAATAGTTTCTAATTGGCTTATTCTCCATTGTTGTTGCAGGCTCTTGTAATGAGAATTGGTCTTGCTGGTAAACTAAATGGTATGAGGGTTGTGTAAACACAATAGAGCATAATTTATTCTCATAAAATGTGATTCTAACATAATGGTATCCTCATTTGTAATACATTTTACATTCTTTCAAAATTTTAGGGTTCACCTTACAAAATCAGCAACATTCTTTTAGAATACCAGGTTCATCTTACAAAAGCAGCATCATTCTTTCAGAATATCAATGTTCATTTTACAAAAGCAACAACATTCTTTCTGAAAAAGAAGGGTCCACCTTACAAAAACGACAACCTTCTTTTAGAATAAAAGGGTCCACCTTACAAAAACAACACCATTCTTTCTTTAAGGAGAAATCTGGTAGAATGCATTCTTAAATTTCATATCAGTTTTTGTACTTTCAAGAATTGCATATATCTTG